GGAAAACACTAACGGGAACCTAGGCTTACATAGAAAAATGTATAATTTCTATGTGTATATCTAGGAAAACACTAATGGGAACCTAGGCTTACATAGAAAAATGTATAATTTCTATGCGTATATCTGAAATACACTAACGGGAACCTAGGCTTACATAGAAAAATGTATAATTTCTATGCGTATATCTGGAAAACACTAACAGGAACCTAGGCTTACATAGAAAACTGTAATAGTTTTATGTAACTTAAAGCTAGGTAAACAGGAGACCAAATGGCAAAAAAGTGGAAATCAAGCTAAAATTGGCCTAATAATTTTGGAAGTGAGACCCCAGAAGGGCAGACCTCTTTACTTTTATTACACTTGATTCCCCTGGACAAGGATTGGCTAAGAGCTTGCTGCCACTATAATTAAGTTGAAATCTGCCTTGCAGTTTGGGAGATTTCATTTAAAATCAAATTGTCTTCATCACCATAGCTTTGGATCAGGAGTATGTTGAATGGAGACATACTCGCCAGTATGTTACAGCACTGGCAGAAAAGACTGCCAACAGGGTGTAAAACAACGCTGTGCTGCTTATCTTAATAATGACTTTTCCATATAGTTATTCAACACACATGATATGTATAAGATTTAAGCTGATTCAGTATACTATATTTGGAACTTGATATAATTATGGGAATGTTAAATCTAGAGGTTATAAAATAGTACAATCTGACTAACTAATTATAGAGCTTTAATCCATTTACCAGTGACAACCATACAGTAAATACATCTCGAAGTATTACTAGAATGCATCAATCGGTCACTTTTCATACAGTAAAAAGATTGTTACATTGGAAAAAAGTTAGCTTGACATTTTATCCATAAAACTTAATTATCTATGGTAACAATGTAATAAAATATGTTACTTACGACTTGGAATAGAGCTAGATATCCACTGAGAACATTATCAAATGTGATCTTTGAATTCTGCCAGGTGTAATTTTTGGCTAAACATTCTGTCTTATTAGCAGTAACTGTATATAGCAATCTTTCGCCATCTTCATCTACACATTTGAAGAACTTTCCACTGAAGAACTGGACACCCATGATACTGAATATAAGCCAGAACACCATGCATACCACCAGTACATTACAGATGGCAGGGATGGCCAACATCAGAGCATTCACCACAATCTGTTCAAACAAAAGGTGTCATATCAAATTTACATCATTCCATATGAAATGCAAACATTTACAAAACGTCACTTTGCCAATTAAAGATACCACAGAAAATATCTCATCTATCAGATTTTTTTTACAAAAGCTTGTTGATTTGTCTTAAGCATTATAATATGAGTTTTAGAGCTGTTTGAACTTACCCAAGGATCTCATTCAAAGCAATTAAAGGTGTTCAATTCGAAATTCTAGAAATGTCTGTCAGCTACATGTATCCCATTTGGATTTTTGTGAAAAATTCTTACATGCCACTTATTTCTAAAAGGCAGTAATGATAATTTCTAGAAAGACATGTTAAGATGATTTTAATTACTTTACAAAATGTTAAAAATAAGTTAGTGTTAGAGTGCTTTAAACCTAGTGATATTTGTCTTTCAGCCTGTACTTACCCTCATACCCTGCCATCGAGAAATTGCTCTTAGAGGTCTGAAAGCTCTGAGGGTACGTAAGGATCGGAAAGCAGAAATGTTATCAACTCCTGCCGCCTTGGCTGCTAAACTGGCAATAGACACCTACAGGGAAATAGAAAACAGCTTTCTTCAATGCTAAATTCAATTAAATACATGATAATTTTAACAGTTTTGAAAGGTTTCATAAAGACTAAAAATTGTAAAAGAATTATTTCATAAAAAGTTTTGATATCAGGTCCAATAACAATCAACCATTAGATTTGTAAGTGTATTTTAAGTATAGCAGAAATAACATAAAACTTTGCAGAGTCAGACTCATGATCTTTGATTTAATTGCCTCTAATGTTACACTACACTCCAGTCAGACTACTCAGTAAACAGTAAACAATCAACTGTAACATGAGAAATAGTATCACTCACCACTACAATGCAGAAGTCAAGCAATGTCCAGAACTGGGTGAAGTACTTCTTAAATCCCATTCCGACCCACTTCATCAACATCTCAATCGCAAACAGAACGCAGAAGATAATGTTAAGCCAGTCCAGTGCCAACTCCAAAGTCGGGTTTTCATACAGGTTCACATCCTCAAAGGCCTGATGATGAAAATACAGGATCGGGGCATTACACCATCATACAAAATAATTTATATATAAGTGACCAGGGTAATTAGGTCAAGGTTATCTAAAACATACAAACACATTAAATAAAGCCAAAGATATGTAGATGTGGTCTTTAAGATAGTCTTTTGCCTCTCTTGACTCATATCTTACAGTTATTACATAAAGTGACAACCATATAGGGGTAAAATAATTATATCCAAGGTCAACATACCAGAGTGAGGCTGCTTACAGTTATTACATAAAGTGACAACCATATAGGGCTAAAATAATTATATCCAAGGTCAACGTACCAGAGTGAGGCTGCTTACGGCGATCAGGAACAAGATGATGCCTTCAAACACTTTGTTTTCTATCACAGTGGCCATCAGCTTTCTTAACATGTACCACTTTTTACCGAATGCTGTATCGTCAAACGTCTTCAACCAGGTAAACCTGTCAACAAGGTAGTATTGATGTGTTCTATAAGGCAGCACTAACATAATGTTTCATCACAGACCTTAGCAATGTTCAAACAAATATCAAACATATATGTATTGCTTCACAGAGAGCAATTAGGGTCACCATATTTACACAATAAAACTGAAAAAAGAGTAGGCATTTAAATTAGAATAATGTATCAACTGTTATACTATACACCCAGGCTTAACAAGTATCACATAGGATTTAAATATGTTTGTCTTTACCCGGTTTGTTCAATATCAAGGTTTTAATATCATATTAGATGAAATTCATCCCAAATTTTCCATTCTACATCACAGAGGCTCGGCTAAAAAAATGGATAAAATGATACTTGTTCCATCAATTTCATTTGAATTATATTTGCCGTAATTATAAAGCCAGTAGGTCAATAAGGAAATTGGTTTCCAAATTTATTATTAATATTAATAAGTGTTGTTATTTGAATGTGTATTTCAAAACATTCATATTTTGTATTAATTGAGGCAATCTATAATCAGTTCTCTTACAGTTAATGCATCGTGTTTACAGTTTTCCAAACTTAATTCCTTTTTAGATGCTCGATCTGTTTAAGATATCTTAGTAATTTAATTGATCTTAGATAACAAAGTTCTGAAAGTGGTATGTATATTAAACATAACCTGCTTTGATAAAATTCCATCAAATACTTTTAAATGATCAGAATATAATTTTTGGCTGACCAATTTGTAATGTTATAGGATTTGCGTGACCCTGATAGCTTCAAATTAAAAAAAAACTTTTTTTTTTTCTCCAGATTAGTGTTTTTAAAATAACAACAACAAAGCCATTTTAAAACTCAGCCTTAACCATCTTAATTAATCTTAAAATTGTAATGTTACTTTCAGGAAATGCTGATTCCATTATTTAAGTTTAAAATAATATTTATTAAGCAAACTTCATTCTTGAAATTTGGATCATGCTATAGCCAGGCAACAACCACTCTAATCTAGATTTCAAACAGCACAAATATTGTACAGTTGACAGATATTATATAGCTACAACTTTACAACACTACAATGTTTCACTTATAACTATATATACAAAGATGGACTTCTACAAAACTGAAATAAGAAATAGAAAAAGTCTGTGAATGCCCCAGCCTGTTGCTCTCCTTTGGGTTTGGGACGTTAACACAAACTTGTTTGAGGTGTTCCTGAAAACTTCTGCGAAGTTTAATTTAAATCAGAAGAAAAAGAAATCAGTGACCCTGTCTTACATCCTCAATCCTGAAAATCAGAATGTTTGAAGTATTTGTACTGAAAATTGATTGAAGTTTTGTCCGTTAGTTATTATAAGTGGCCCACAACTCTATTCATGGCAGAGACATGATTAAAAAACTGAAATCTATGATATGACAGTATATTCATAGCCATGTACCGGAAGGAAACTCTAAATATGAAAACCGATGATGATGAGAGTACTATGGGTGTGGGACATTTTATGCCTGTCACATGCCTTGAAGTATCCTATTTAACACATAATGTTTGTAAGGCATGAGACCCTGAGTCGTGATTTCAGTATACAATTTTCCCTTTCAAAAGACATCAATATGGCAAAATCTTTAACAGCAAGGCATTCATCAACATGACATGAAGAGTATCAAGCAGGTTTCTGGGCAGAAATAGTGATTTTTATGAAAAACACTTTTACCCAGAGAAAAGAACTGTCAAAGTTTCATGTTATTATAACTGCCGGAGAATTATAAGCTAAAGAAACTACCTGTAACATTAGAAAATATTACACTTTAACAAATTCTGTAGGCTGTGTCCCAGACAATGTCAGTTTCCAATAATATAAGTTAGTAGTGATGCAAATGAGTTGGTTTACAGTAAATTGCATGAATGCCTCATGAAAGTGAAATTGCAGAATACATGTACTTCAACATGAAACGGGAGGTACAGAAAATAACATCTAGGCATAGGATGACTGCAGACTACAGGTAGAAAAAACACCTCCTTTTAGACACAGGATTTCATTCTGTCCAACCCACACACCAGCATTTTAACTTATTCACCCCTAAAGGCACATTTGAACTTTTCCAATACAAAGGTTGGAATAGTTCATTACAAAGCTGCTTCATTGGCTCGGAAGCAGCTTTGTAACACAACATATAGCTCATTTGGCCCTAAGACAAGACTAGCTACACATGAACAGATTGACAGCAACCTGTCGGGTAAGATTTGGTAAATCTGTGTGGGTTGGACCAGCTGAAGGAAAACCTGTAACTCTATGGATGAACAGTACTAATGCTTCTTCTATTATTCTTACCAAGGAATCCAACGGTACAAGCTATTAACACAGGAACCAATGGTGAGAAACCAGCATACATGTATTGAAATAATCATCAAAATGGTTTCCTGTGGATTTCTTATTTTCACTTCAATATTTTTTTAGAGCTATACCACCAAAAGTTTTAGAGGTTTTATGCAATTGCTTTGCAAGTTAGAAACTTTTGAAATGAAAGATAAAAACATAATAACTATGTTAAGAGCATGGAATTATATTAAATCCTTATGCTTTGAACTCCTTGGGAGGTTCATCATAACATTACACAAAGGAAGATCTACCCAGCTGGCTAAGTATCAGTATACAAGGTAATGGATCATTTCAAATCATGCACCCATTTTCCTTGTGTTTATATTGGATAACAGATGCAGTCAACTGTTTCCTGTTAAAATCTAACCCCTCGGTTCATTCAGACAAAAGACAATAGGATATTATATGGATATTGTCACCATACAAGTGTGTTCGACCTAACAAAGTTTCTGAAATTACATCAATCTACCCTATTTTATTTAAATAAACTGTAAAACTACTTGATTCTAGGTAATGACTTTATAAGAGGAAACATATTTAATGCAAAATTCCTGTAAGGCAAAGTTGATTAAGTAATGACTTCTTATCATATCTGTTAAACTGGAATCTATTGAAGTGCGACCCTGTTTGTGAACATTCTCCCCAGTATTATTGTACCAATTTTGTGTGATACCTACACTTTGTAGAAGCCCTCTGGGAAGCAGTCTTCAACCACAATCACCTTCACCTCTTCCTCTTCCTCATCACCTTCCTTTTTCTTTGTCTTTGTCGTTGAGGCCTCAGCTCCTAAAGGAAGATCATCATCGTCTTTTTCTTCCTGGTCCTTCTTTTCGTCCTTTTTATCATCTTTTTCTTTGTCTTTTTTATCATCAGCTTTAGTTCCTCCTTTAGTGTCATTGGCATTTGCCTTCAAAGCCGCATTGAAACTGGAGAATTCCTCTCTCTGAGTGCTAAAGGCAGCATCCACTTTGTCCTGTTAAATATTCAAATATTTAATTGAAAATTAAAAATGCAGTTGTTACTGTACATCTAAACTTAAAATTTTAAAAAAACATGACATTTGAATACCAAAAACAATATTAAATAAATGAAATATTTTACAATGATTTAGAAATCTTAAGGCACATAATTTTTAAGATTATCAAGAAATAACAGAAAATAAATCAAACACATTTGAATTAATATCAAATGATATCTTAATAGAAAAGAAGATAGATATTGGAATTGTTTAACAAAAACTTTTAGCAAAACCTTGATGTATATGCATTACCTTAGATTAATTATAGAATAATTATTTTCAAGCACTGCATTCTAATACAGCCTATAGCTATTGCATATCACTGACAGGAGTTCAGAGTTATGCAAGATTAATAGATTTTTCACTGATACAACATGAATATAAGAACTAGAGGAATACCATACAACAGAGCATGCAAGCTGTAAAAAAATCCCACTGGATTTCTTAAATGAAGTAATTCTGTAGGAGAATTTTGACCTGAGCAGATATCAACTTTAAATTAATAAGATATCTGTATGTCTGTGTCTCATCAATCTAGCCACCAGCCACTTATATAGCTGTCCCACTCTCCAGTCTAAGTTTTAGGCTGACAGACAGGTTTACCCTTCATCAGTACATTTTGACAGGGTGGAGTACTGTGCTGGGTGCCTTCCACATGGTATTTCAGCAAAATAGCATTCTTAAGTTGGCATAAGGTCTGCGATATCGCAAAAAGGTGTAATACACCAACACCACGCCTCCAGCACACAATCATACATTACTGGAGACAAAGGTGGCTGGATAGTGCATTTGAGTAGATATATCTAGGAGTTATGGTTCTTTAGTCCCAATCAGTGTTTTTAAAGCATATATACATGCACCTAAATAATGACAATCTGCATATAGCATAACCATTTCCAATTTGATATATGATTTTAAATATTGAAATTAAATTGTGTGCACTCTATTGGTTTCTGTAAAAAAATATATATGTGGAGTTAAGGTAATAGGATTGTGTCACCATTTCTCAGTAGAATTTCTTCAAATTTTGTAGTTATGTTGCTTTAAAGTAAAGAAAATTTTCCGCAACAAAAAAAATATAGGTTGTCAGAATTTAAGGATTTTAAATGGAAATTTATCTAAAAAGGAGTGAATTTTGAAAAAAAAATGAAAGACACAATATTTTTATAAAATAATGTCAATAAAAATGATACTGATATTGGTGTTGCATTAATGTATATCAATTTAATAAATGCTGAAATTGTGTAAAATTAACTCTCTATACACGATATAAAAATTGACATTTTATAATAAAACCATATACACATAGTAATTGCAGGCAAGAGTTATCGTTCTTTAAAAACTTCACAGTAGTGAAATAGGTAGCCGGTTTCCTGAAGTACAGAAAAATGTACACATGTGACTCATTGATAAAAAAACCTGAATTAATACCTGGATTGCTATGAAATACTTTAATATTGAGAGAACACACTGTTCTGTCAATAATAAACATACAATATTCATCAGTTTAATATTAAACATTAGAATTTGCGGAAATTGTGATACTGTCTCCCTACATTGGATTTTCAACTAGGGATATACTTCCTGTTTCCGTTTATCAATACACTCCAATGACCTTAAATAATTAAGGTAAAGGATACCACTGCACTATTTATGATTGCAAAAAAGAGTTCCACTTCAGACATGTTTTTTTTGATCAGGAATATATAATTCTCCTAATACACAACATAAAATAGTTTGTCTTGGTTAGAGTTACTTCCCTTCGCAAGGTATTCGTCTTTCACTTGGTTAAACAGGGGTTAACTCATTCACGCCTGAAGACACATTTGAACTCTTCCAATTCAAAGGTTGGAATAGTACGTTCCTTACGAAACTTCAGGGGTGAATGAGTTATGAGTGTAATCTGGAGTGGACAGGTCCTGAGTTCCACTCCAGGAATTTCTACTTTTCTATATTTTATTTTATTTATTTTTTCAAAAATTGAAATTGAAAAGTGAAATACATTTAGAATGACTGAAAAAATTCAGGATAGTGACAATGGTATTGATATATTTCACTTTGATATTTGATGGCATTATTTACCTCAAAGACTCTCTAAATGGAATCTGTATATTTTACAAATCCAGGTTACAGCATGCAGTCTATTGGTAACAATACTGGGTACATTACACAATTGTAATAGGACGAGGAATAGTGATAAAGATAGTGCCGTCGCTGAGGCTTGAACCCATGATCCTTGGCTCTCCAGCCCGATGCTCTACCGCTGAGCTAAAGGGAAATTCCCTACAGCTGACGCTTGTAAGGCAACCTAATTAATCCACATCTTTTACACAATATCTTTATCACAAACTGAAATACTGTAAATCACTGTGAGGTGTAATATTAGCCCAGTTGGACACTTTTCTTGGCATCAATTTATTGAGGGCATAATAATCAAAGACCTACTAATAATTGAGGCTTGAAATATTCAAAAACATTATCCTCAACATGCCGATTAACAGTAAATTTCAGTCCCTTTCCATGAAAAGGCTATACACATGGTAGCTTCATGTCACTGTTTGAACAATAAATGATACACAGAAAGCAATCAAAGTCAGACCTGGAATTACCTAATGGGGAAACATCATAATCACACTAATATTTATTTTTTCCCAGTAAACAATGTAAAGGAAGAATAATTTGATAGCTAGCTTCCAAATCCATCAATTCAATTTCACTTCAATGATCGACACTCACTAGTAAACATGGTATTATATAGTTCATTTTAAATGATGAATCTGACTCGATCCATGTATAATATTGTAAGAATTTAATTAATTGAAAAAGAACTTTAAAATATAAGATCCAGATCTGACTCTGACTATTGAGGTGGTTGACAAGGCGCCACAACACATGATGGTGCTCTAATAAACAAGTGGAGGGTCAACTGTGCTCAGAATTTACCTGTACCGGTACAACTTCTGGTAAAACCTTTAATGGAGCTTTTTGACTTATAGAACCTGCAGCTTTGTGAGATTTTCTACGCTTTTTGCCCTTAACAAAGAATAGATATCTCACATTGAATCTAATTTTTTAACATAAGTTTCAGTTCTTCAGCTCCTGATAATTTTTTCTTTACTGAATTATAGAGCATGTAAGCAAACCCTATAATCCCTGATAATCTTACTGTTTTTTAATGAAACACTTAAGTTGAATTTAAAAAAAGATTCTTCACTACACTTTAAAATGACAACAGTTTTTAAATGTTTTAACCCAGAATAGAGAAGATATTTCATCTGTCAAAACTTTGTACTAACTGTTTTAGAGCACGAAATAAAACTTGCCACTTGAAGACAGCTTTTGTTGCATGGATTGCTATCTTACATTTGTTTGACATAAATTTCTGTTACCTTTTTGGCCTATTTCACAAAAACAAATTGTTCAAGATGAAAAATCATAATTATTTTTTCATCAGCAAAAACTGAGTGTTAAATCAGTACAAAATTAATCAACAATTGATAATTAAATGTGAACTCACTTGTGTACAAAAATCACGATGCATATGTGTATAGTTTAAAATATATCCTACCTTAGATTTCTCATCCTTTTTAGCCGTCGTTCCATTGGCCTGAGGTTTGCCCTTGGTATCTGTGCTGTTTTTAACAGGATCTGTCTTGCTCTTCATAGTACTTGCTTGACCATTGGTCAGTGCTATTTTGTCTTCAGCTTTCCCCTTGTTCTTTGCATCTTTGTCTGTGAAAACAAACATGATTCATATGCCAATATAAACTGGTCCCAAATATTGATAACAAACTAGAACACTGACAGGTGTTCAGCAAGGGCCTGCCATGTTCCTGACTTTAACTCCATGGTCTATTTTCAATAACAGTATAACCTTGACCTTAAAAACGTTTTAACCTCTATTTCACATCTACATCTATCACAGTGTATGTTCGTGTCAAATTTCAGAAAGATTAATGTTGGATTCCAAGATAAGCTATGGAAACACAGATTACTTATAAAGCTCACCTGTATCTCCGATATGGGGCCTAATTATTATAAACTGTTTATAAGTCCATCCACATGTTAGCATTAGGCCCTTTGAATTATTTGGTGAGAATTACATCCTTGTACTTAAATGAACTATCTATACTCTCAAATTTTTAAAGATTAGTATATACATGAATGTATCCCTATGATTTCTTGTGAAATTTGTTGAAATATAAGCAATTTGGATTGATATGTCTTGTCTGTGGCCCACTTTGACCATCAATGTATATATCAGAGAAACTAATTTAAACTCAAAAACTTTGATGGCAATGCTGACATGTCAATGAACCATGAAAGGTAGGCCGCATCCAGCATTTGATGCATGGGTCTAGATGTACTACCTAAGATGCATCTATGGTCCAAGTGTGGTTTATACTTTCAGTGAAACTAAGGCAAAGACTTAATGTTGAGACCACTGCCATTGCTGCCGCTGTCGCCGGAAAGCAACACCTTAGTCTCGCTTTCGCTACCTTGCCGCGGCGAATGTACTAGTTTGTAAAAAAAACAAAAACAAAACCAAACGCTGTTACTTACCCTTGCTGTCTTTGTCAGTAGTGCTGGCCTCCCCATCTTCTTCCTTATCATTTGGTCCCACAGATGCTGATCTTTTGGGCTTCAAGCAGCAGCAACAAAGATTCTTTATTCTCGTGATTGCCAACTTAAGTCGATTGTCTTCATCATTTGGCTCCTGATCAAGTGTGTCACTTGCGAATGCATTTAGCAACAGGGCAAGGAAAAGATTCAACACCTACAAATATAAGAAAATATCAGTTTTTAGAAAATATTGTTTTTAATAAAAAAAAAAAACAGCTTCAAATAAAAACCCATACATGTTTTTGTCTCAAATGTATCAAGAAGTAGTTAACATGGTCAATAATGCCATTCATTACCAATGTTTCACAGGTTTCCTACATAATAGAACTCTTCTGTGTAGGAGATATTGATGTCTGTCGATAAGGTGACATATTTATATCCTTAAGCTTTCATTTTCAGTGAAATATCATGAACTTAAAAAAAAAAGAATAAAGGTCAAATTGAACCAGAACAGATTGTGGCATGAACCTTGATACAGTGAGAAGGCCAAAAACCTTTAAGTAATGAGTAAATTTGAAGAGATCATGAACCTTTGAACTGAAAGGTTGCAAATCTTCAAATTAAGAAATTGTGAATATTCAAATTTAAACTACAATGAACATAGAATCCTTCTACTGAGTGGAGATTGAAAACTTTCAAAGTGAAAAAGTCCATGTTAAATTGAGTAAATTAATTAAAAAACCTTACGAAATTGAAGGAGGTCATGAACCTTCAAAATGAAAGTGGGTAATCTTTCAATTAAATTATGGGTCACGAACCATCAAATTGAGAGGCTGTGAACATTAAAATATAAAATATGTCATTAATGCTAAGTTTACAGCCTTGATTTTCATGTTTACATACAATGAAGTTTCCAAGAACAAGAGTTGGGAGGAAGACAACCATGCAGAGTTCGTCAGCAGCCCGCATACAATCCCACAGAGGTTCAATCCACTCTCCACAAAGCACGCGGAACACCATCAACATGGCATGAAAGAAGTCAGTGAAATTCCACCTGGAATATGATTGTAGAAACAACATGAATAAAATATCGTACTCAAGTTAATCTTTTAACACATTTAGCAATTAAGTGGTATTTATTTATAATAGGATGGAAAAAATGAACTTCTTTTTAAAAATTAATTCAAATAGATTTTCAAAGTCCATTCCATCTGATATGTATGATAAAAATGGATTAGATACTGGTGATATGTCACTAAGGGCTTACAGAGGAGAAACAACCTCTTTGCATAAAGAACCTTTATAGTCAGGTCTGACACAAGTTTACCACCATGTTAGGGTCAAACCCATCCTTAACGTTTAGCACAAAAAGGGGAAAACATTTTCAAACATTTTGAACAGAAGGCTAATCACGAAAAGTAACTATGTATGTCAAGTTTTATTAATTAAACCAATTTAAATACCTGGGTATATCGTCGCCAAAAATTTCCTCTGTGTAGGAATCAGAAAACAGCTGAAGACCAATGACAGCAAAGATATAGATGACAATCACAAGGACTATGGTTAAATAGCCAAGTGCCCCTAATGTACTTAAGATAATGGTGAGAAGCAATTTCAGCGTCGGCCAGGATTGTGCCAGTTTGAAGACTCTGAGCTGTAATACAGAGAAAAAATTCATAAAATTTATGAATTTATATATTAGTTTTCCTCTTATTCGTTAAATAAATTTAAAGATAGATGAAAACTTGATAGATGATGGTTAAATGAGTTGTTATAGATTTAAAGAGGAAGCGGAAGGGACCTTAATTAAGATATTCATCTGGTTTAAGTGACCTTTTTACAAATTTTGTATCAATCCATGCCAGCAAGCTCCTGGCAAAATATTAAAAAATCATATTCTATGCCTTTCCCTTCTTCAGAATATGTAGTTTGAGTGCTTTAACATATCCTATTCCGATGACCCTGGATATTTGTCATGGCTATTCTTTCCCTAAAGAATGTTAGCACCTACTATAGTCCAGCAATGACCTGCAGTCCAAACATCGTGACTCAAGGTCTATCTATTCTTCAGAAGAGATATTTTGAGCATTTTAATAGATTAGATCTCTGTGACTATGTATATAGATCTTGGTTATTTCTTTTTTCAATACTTTGTAGTACTCTATGCCAGTAAGCTGCTGACCAAATATCATGACTCAAGAAGATGTCATTTAATTAAATTGTTGACGGACAGACGACCGATGCCATGGTATGGCATAACTAACTCGTTCACTCCTACATAACTTAACTGGACTTGCCAAGTCTTTGATTTGGTAAGGTTCAAATGTAACTTTAGGGGTGAATGGGTTAGGTTCACCTTGGTCCTTTGGATCAGGTGAGCTAATAATTAAGAATATTCCAAAGAAAATGTACTCACCAATCTGAATGATCGGAAAACACTGAGGCCATCAACATCTTCCAGACCAAGATCTACAAGACTGGCTATCACAATGACAAAGTCAAACACATTCCAGCCATTGTCGAAGTAAAACTTGCTGAGAGCTGTCAGTTTGACTACACATTCAAAGGTAAAGATACTGGTGAAGATCTGAAACATTTCATAAAAGAATCTTTTTACTCTTTTTATTATATAGTAGTCATACAAAAATGAAAATTGTGAACATTTTATGTAAGAAAGGTTCCATTGAAATGAAAAATCCAGCCATCACTGTATTTGGTCAAAATTCTGTATACAATTGAGCAAAAGACCAGATTTCAGATTTTGGTTTAAGTATAAGTATAGCAAATGCCAAATGGTGAATAAAGGCAAATAGTAAGAAGTTGTGATCAGAACAAACTGAATTTCTGTGCCCATGCAGGTAGCCAGACAACAAACAATAATACACATTATTATATTAAGGCATACAAAAGTTATATCTAAACATTTCGCCATAAGGAACTTTATCAGTGTGAGCATTATTTCTAAAATGTTCTCAATTTTTAAAGAATTTTTCTACTTATACATGTATCATGTTACCTGAAGCTTCTTCTAATCTATTCCGTCTTTGCGTATTGCAGAGTTATCTTCTCTTGGAAGCAGGTATTGAATGTTACGTCACTTGTTTGTGAGAGTAACGTCATCAATTTTTGAGAAAACGACGCAATTTTCTCACACAAACCAATGACGTAACAATCAATACCTGCTCCCAAGAGAAGATAACTTTGCAATACGCAAAGACGGAATAGAACCTCATAACAAACAATGTGAATAAAAAACATCAATTTATATGTTTGACCGATGCTCCATGATATTCAATTTAACATTTATAATTATTATATCACAGCACCTCTTAAAAACTGTTCAAACCTTTTTAACAGTTGAAAAATCAGGTTTTAGATCAATGATATTTGTACATTTGTACTGTTTTTATTAATTTTGTTTTTATTGTTGATCTTGTTTGATGACTTACGTAGTTAGCTATTCGTAACACCTCCTTGAGTTCGTCTGACATGCCGTGATGTTCTACAGCCATGAAGACGGTGTTGAGAACAATACAGACTGTAATGAACAGGTCAAACAAGGGGTCCGATGCAAAAACCATGACACCATTCTGGACATAGAGCCAATAGGTGTAGATGCTTGTCCCTGCACAGCAGGGGCAGTTCCGGTCTATCAGCTGACCCTTCCCTCGGGCTGGTTTATAGCCGTCACCCGTAGCTGTAAAACAATATGTCTTACCAATAAGCTCACTGAACATTTTATTTCGAACAAACATCTCCCTTTTTAAGGAATACAAGTTATCGAAATGTGAAAATAACATTTTTTTTATAGATAATTGGCAACTTCCATCTTTGACAGTTGTAGGATATATTTGAATGTGAAAAATTCTGGAATATTTCTGTTTAGATGCTTAGTATGGGTGAATTCCATCAGGTTGGCACTTTTGATGAATGGGTGTACATGGAACAAACTTACAGTCCCTTGATTCACAGGCAGCTATACAATCTACCAACCATATGAGCAATTATTTTGGTCAAGAATTATAACCAGCAGTTAATTGATTTTATGCAAATATTAAATGAACAAACACCAAAATGTCTACACATACCCAAGATGATCTCTGGTCCAACTTTCTTCTTTTTCACTGGATATTCACCAGCTTTTTCAAGGTGAATCGCAGAGGAAGAGATCTACGTAAATAAATCAATTAAGTTTCATGACTTTATTGCCATCAGAAAATTCATAAATTTCACTCTGACTAATTATGAGGCAGCCATTTCAACTAAGTTATAATAAACTGAAAATGAAAACAGGTTTCCTGTGACAAAGAAAGTATGTACAAGGTGTATGTGCCTAGACATAGCAAGGAACAGAGTTAATTATAACGCGAATAAAAAAATGAAAAAAAATGATTGAAATAAACTGAACAGAAACAGAATGTTCATGGTTTCATGAAACAAAACTTATAATAGAAAAAAAATATTATCGCTGATTATCTGTCATAAGATAATTTACAAATTTTAAGAAGAAATACTTGTTAAAGCTGGGTTTTTTTCTTTATAATTCTATCATTTATCTATCTTGAGTTATTATAATTAGATAAAATGATAAACAATGGTCAGTCAATGCCATGGAACCTGCATTTAAAACCTTTTTTTTACCACCAGGTAAATAACACTTTAAAATAGCAAAATCAGAATTCCCATTTTTTGACTATATATGAATAAAATAATTATAAAACAGTGGAATCAAAAAAAAAGGAAAATAATATAAGCAGTCAAAACTCGTCACAAATATCTATTAAATAACTGTCTGACATACACCTGTTATATTGCCACATATCTGGTCATATTTACATAAAGGATCGTTGAAAGCAATAGAGAGAGAGAGAGATGATTGTCGGAGCACTATCAGTCGCCTAGTGACATCATAACACAGTCGGTATTATTACTATTGTTATAAGTATACATCTATAAAATTAGCATTATGGAAGCCTGTAGATTTCTATAATACCTGCACCACCAACGCCAGAAACATTTCGTGCATTCTCTTCTCACATAATATTTCTGAACAATAAAACTGATCATCAAAAGTTAAATGTTTGTGATTCTAAACACATAATGTAGCTGCATATTTCTTCTGATTACTATTCAATGGGTTGCCCTTATAATCATATAAATTCCACAGTGATATTTTGAAACTGTTTTTATTGTTAAAAAAATTGAAAATTTATGCAGAAATGACAATGTGATCTCCATCAAGTATACATATCAATGTAGATCTATTGATAAGTTGAATGGTTTGTTTAGTAAGTCCTTTTTAGTGATAGTTTAACTCTCATAAAACCCCACTAAAATCTTAATAATTTCTCAGATATAATTTATATTTACCGTATATTCATATAAGCCTTATGCTAGTCATGGTTCTTCTGTTTTGGCATCAATGCATTGAAAAGTGCTTCATATTAAATATCGGTCAAAATTACCTTGTGATAAATATTTCACTCAATGTCTACAAGTGATGGATTTAGTTTTGACATATAATTTGACACAATGACAGAGGTGATATATAATTTGTATTGTGAATATTACACATGTGGCATTGACAACACAAAAAATCCACTCTCGTTGAGGCTGTACAAAGATCAGGCTGTGTCAAAAAAAAATAAAAAAAAATTTAAAAGTGCAAACAACATTGAGAATTTCCTGAATAAGTTATTATTGTCTTTATAAATTTTAGATAAAAAAATATACTATTAGATAGATTGAAAAAATGGTAAAAGATTTTTTATAAAACAAATTACAATTTTTAAATTAATTTTGGCTTATTAATTAAACTATTGGCTTTTTAATCCAAATCTATCCCCTTCTTCAAACTCTCAATAATAAATTTCATGTATGAAATATATACCTTTGGAACAGTTCATTTAATCACCAAATTTATACATAGCATTCTTATATTTAAGACAGTCAATACTTTTCAGCTTTTACACGTTTAATTTATCATTATTCAAAAACAGTTACAATTAAACTTCCTACATTATTTGAAAGAAAACAAATTAGCAATTATTTTTTATATTTTTTTTATATTCTTCAACTCTAAAAGAATACATCTAGTATGTAGCATAGTATTTTTTTCTGATTCTCTATTTTGAAAGTCTTTTTTTACATGTGAAATACACAGGTGCTTGGTCGTCAGGGTCAGTGAGACAGCGGGCTGTGCTTGGTGACCTTTCATCGTGCACATTTTACTTACTTTGTAATGACGTTTGACTGACAGATAACCCTGTAATATATAACCATGTGTTAAGGATATATGCTACCCTACACATTGTATCTTAGTGTCAGTTATCTCCCTTTAACAATTCCCATTATATAATAATTGAGAGCTACCTTTGTGTCATCAATACATGTATTCATTGCTTAAACTGTTTTAAATTTGTCATCAAAATAAATAATTAAGTCCAATTTAACCTAAAATAGACAGGAGAAACTCTTTTGCAAAAGAGGAGCATGTCAACATAAGGTAGCATATGTTCTTAAAACTCAAATTTGTCATATTCTCTCTATATGTCTACTGACCAACGTGATAACCACGTCAACTGTAATCAGTGAAAAGTTTCTGTGACATCAACCACAATATACATGTATGTGCAATCTATATATGTACAGTCTACATATAGATTAACCATTTATAGAAAAAAAGATATTGTAAATACACAAAGCTTCAGTCAGAAAGTTATTCTGTAAATAACCCCAGAAATAGTTTCTGACAAAAATGCCAGTGCCGTTACATTTTTTAGTGATTTGGAAAATATAATACAAAAAACATGTATATCAATTCTGAAAATGAAAAGGCAATTTCCTTCCATATGTTTGTAACATTAAGGAAAGATTACATGACATATCCAGTCCAGATTATCATCATTAATTGTGTTAGAATTGACACTCAAATCTCAAATAACATAAACCATGGGTAAATATAAACACAAGTCACCAACACAATTCATCAACTTAATTCAAGTCTGTATGATTTAGGGTTAAACACTTCTTTTTTCATTTTTGAATGGTATAAGACATTTCTCAATTTCCATGTAATGAAGGCTTTAGCAGACTCTGATCAAGCATCTGATGTGATAGATGAAGGGTAAACCAACAAACTAGAATACAATGATAAACAGAATGACAATATCAGGCTGATCTCATGTCAAAGTTCATGTTTTCATTTTATTCATCAAAATACCATATTAAACCTTTGATAAGTAAGGAGACCTGTTCAACAGGAATAGGATACTGTGATAAATGTGCTGAATTTTGTATATGGCACTTACTTTGGAAAGTATTTTTTCAAGATACATGTATAACACTTGTGTAAAAAATAAGTTCTAAAAGTGATGGGATTTTCAATGAAAAAGGGCTTATCACAGGTAAAATATGGTTAGGTCGCGGAATTAAATTTTTCATATAAGTCTGCGATTAGGAGCATACCCCTTTACCTGCAAATGAGACAAATGTTCCTCTTGTTCTAGCACTATTCTCAAATTGCATACAATGCACCAAAAGCTTTTTAATTTTTTTGGAAACAAATTATATTTCTCTCTTTTAATTTTCATTGCTGCTGATACTCTTTGACTGAAACCACACATTCTTAAGATGAATCAATAAAGAAAATACTCAATTTAATTTACAGAAAGAAAACTGACAATTACCAATCAGTCAGAAAAGAAAGGATATTATCATGCATGTCTATCAATTTTCATATCTATTTGTTCATTAAGATTTTTAAAAAAAAATCAAATGAGAGAAACCTTAAACATTAGGAAACAAACATTTTCATGCAAACAAGAGAAAGCTGGTGGTACCAAGTGTCAGGAGAGGCCGATGGTAGGTGTTGGGTTAGGTTAGAAGACAACCTCAGACGGAATCCTGTACAGAGTTCGCAGGTAGATTTAGGAAGAAAGCGGTGAATCCATCTCTGTGGTGAGGTAAGAGTTATCTCCCCTCTCCACGTGAGAACTACTACATGTGTTGAGTATATATGCTTTGGATATATATATAAATTATATATTTATATATGCGGTAAAATTTAGTGCACAAACTTACATTGTCAGTGCTTTGCTGTTTGATCAAATTCTGTCTTTTTGCGTTGGAGGGTAGAACCGGCAATTCCCCAAGGAGACCATGATTGAGAGAACCGGTACCCGAATCAGCGGTTTTATTGGCAATACTGTCCCAGCTGGTTGTGTCTCCATCTTTCTCCTTACTGCCTCCAGATTGTGAACTCTGTACAGAATATCCGCTGTCCTTGCTTGGCATTTTCACCATAGGCTTCCTCCCTTTGCCATATTTTACCAGGTTTTGGCCGTTGACTGTTTTCTCCGATTCCCCTTCTCCTTCAGGAACCTTTCCATTGGATTGTTTGTTGTCCGGATCCTTTCCTTTTGTTTCTCCAAGGTCAGATTTCTCTTTCCCACCTGGCTTCCATTTGGCTGCAGCTTTCGTTGCATTAGCTAGTTCCTTGAGTGGGTCTTTATCCTTTGCCCTTTGCTTTTGTGCCTCATTTTCCTGCAATTCAAAATGCAATATCATGATATATTGGCACGATAAGAAGAAAATGATCTAGACAAAAGTCATCACTTAAAAAAATCATTTATATAAGTTCAAATTATGTTGATCTGGAGATTATATCATAATTATACATTTGGCATTGCATATTTTATTGTTTATACTGACCTATAGATACACGTATAAAGATTAATACCTTACCTAAATTAAACAACATCTGATGAATACCTGCATTCATAATTTTATAGAACAAATAATGTAGAGTATGGTTTTACATACAAATACAGAAACTGTGATGTTTTAATATGTGATACTAAATATTGTAATAATGTGAATCTACTCAATACAAAGAAGTATACATGGTAACAGAAAGGAGTTTACGAAGACATGCAAGATGGGGGAAATCAATACATGTATATAAATATATATATATATATAAATTTACAGTAAGCATGAATATACGGATGTAACCATGAAATCTTTGTATTGAGGAAAAGTTTATGAAGACATGCAAACTGCAAAAAAAATTAAAAAAATTATGAATACCGTAAATGAACTTAATAAAATCATGAAAATAGGATCGCAAAAATGACAAGTGGCCCAAGGACCTTACTGGTCACCTGAGTTGTGATATAGTTGAAAAGTGTTATTTCTCTTTATGATCTATAGAAAACTTCACCCTTGAAGGAAAGAGAAACAATTGACCTGAGAAAATCAAATTCACAATTTTGATAAACACCTTTGGTCGGTAAGTCACAGTACAAAATGTGAACGATTTATGGAGGTGTGACGCAGGACGACAGACAAAAGGCGATAACAATAGGTCAAATGGGACTGTCTTAGGTGACTTACAAACAGTAGGTTAAAAGTACAAAACGTAATATGGAGTCTAAAGATGACTTAAATATATATATGAAAATTTCCAGATTTAAAGTCTGATTTCATTCTACAATGTTTACAATATCTAGTTTTACATACAAGGTCAAAAATAAAGTGTTGCTGGTTTGCCCTTGACCTACTCACTCTGTTTTCTATTCTCAAACAATTCTCTTTTTCTTTTAATTTTTGACTTATTCCTTTATTATGCAAAAGTCTTAATTCTTAACTTTACATTATTGCATGGCAGGAAATGAAAACTTCTTCCAAAAGGTATCTAACTTAAACTACTCATAAAATTGTCATAGAGGTAGTCAAGTGAAAACAAACAACATTTCAAACATGACCCTATATTGGAGAATTAATAAAACACATACACAGGGAGAGGCCCGGGTTACATAAAATGCTGTCAAATGGAGGTCAACACATGCAAACAATGATATCTTTAGACATGGTTTTAGTTTTTCTATCATTTTTGCTATAACCATAACCTTGTTAAAGCATATTATATTGGTATAAATACCAGTGCTGTCGTTGTTTTAAATATGGTAAAATCCTAAAATAGTACTATTTTCAGGTTATAAATTCTACTGTAGCAATGAAGTTAAAAGTAGCCTCTAACATTATCATTGTTTGACATTTCCAAACTTTTAACATGATTTCCAAATACAACTGGAAGTGTTGGTAGAAAACATGTCATAGCTAGACACTCTACAATGAGAACTAGAAGTCTATATTGTAACCATGCACTGTCTTCAGCTTCACCGGTTCAACCCTTCACCAATGTCATCTCTGCTTATATAGTCAGTTCTTGACATAAAAACAAATTCAGTGTACATATATCATGAAAAACCTAGACAGGTCTTAATATTCTATAATTAAGAAAATTGGTTTGCACAATTTTGTAAAAAAATAAATAACGTTTACATAAACAACTGAAGATAGTGATGCAATTATGTTTTGACTTCCATAGCTCTCTTGTTACAATGTATTTTATAGTATAAGAAATGCTTGAGGAAGACCTATTGAACACACTATCAGAGAATGGCGTTCATTTTAACAGACTGATTAGGATTTCAAATTCTTTTAAAATGAGAGATTCTTTTTACACTCAATGCTGCTTTCAATTTGACCAATGAAAACAATTTTGATCATCTTCCTAAACATCTCATTTTCTTTCCAGAATTCCAACATCCTAAGATATATGTAGAATGTTATGAGTTTTTTCCCATTGATGCTCTGGCCTATTAAAATGAACGCCGTTGATAGTCAGTCTGTAAGAGAGAGTCACGACAGGAGGACTCTACTCACCATCATACGTACTGATCTACCCCAAACTCTCTGTGAAATAATCATCAGCTACAGTCAGTCCTCTCACAGTAAGGATCTATTTTCTGTTTTAGCCCCATTACATGGATCAATAACTAATAGCAGAGTTTCCAGTCAGCCGTTACCAGAGTTTGTTTTATGGTTAGTTTCTAACTACACACTCAAGGCTAATAAACATAATTTATCAACATCTAAACATTTTCAATTTTTCCTAGAAGTTTTGCAGATGAATTTCCTTGAATTAGACCCATGGGCTATACATTGTATTTCATGTCAGTAAAATTCACAACAAAGGTATTTTTGCTCTAATATCAACATTCCAATGTGAATAAAACGACTACTAGTAGATCTAGACAGTTCAACAATGAGCTAACATCTGCATGTATATACACTTTGACATAAAATGAATGTTAGTTGACCGAATTTTCATGTGACTTAAACTAAAGTGCAAAAACAGCAGCCATTTCAAAAAGTGATTTCACAAAAGAACAAGCTACCACTTGCAGACACTATGATATTGAGGCTATAAACTGATGTGACGGGTATTTTCAGGAGAACAATACTATACCGCCTCAGTGGAGTCTGCCTCCTCTTCGTACGCCATGGCCACCACAGCCAACATGAGGTTGATTAGGTAGAAGGATCCAAAGAAGACAACAACCACGAAGAATGCCACATGGAACGGCCCAGAAGCTCGTATAACCTGTACGTACAAACACAATGAAGGTCAAGGTCTTTACGGATTTCATTGAAGGGTACTGTATCAATGTGGAATTTAATAGTGACTTGAGAAAAATGACACATAACATTCTTATGGGGAAATAAAGCGTCTTTTTGACAAATTTGTAGATGTATTTAACATTTAACGAATATTTAAATCTTATTTTTTTTTTTTTAATAGAAATGAGAGAAAGTTTGGAGGTTACCTTGATGTAACAGTCCTCCCAAAAGTCAAGTGTGATAAGCTGGAAAGAGGCGAGCATGGCCCAACCAAAGTGGTCAAAGTTGGTGTAGCCGAAGTTGGGATTCTCACCAATATCAACCATACAGGTGTAGTTGTCTGGACATTTACTGAAAGAACCAACAAATTCATAAAATTTACATTCCTATCATTCAGAACAATATTTAACTGTGGTCCATTGTTGAGAGTTTTTGGAGATATACGAGTGGAAGTGATAAGAAATATTTTGTTAATGTAAAAAAAACACTACAATAAGCTTAATTTTTTACTCTCAAAAATATGGTGGTTTACTTTTCAGACGGTATTGAAAGTACCGAAAAATCTTTCCAAAACACCACCATGTTCCTGCTTTATCATAATTGTACAGGTATTAGCAGAAAATGTTAAAAGCTACAGTATAAGGGAAATCAATAGATACAAGGAAAAGATTTTCCTAATTTAACATCTTTTGTCCGTAATTTCCTTCCGTTTGTGACGAGCTATATGTGGATGCACTTGAACACACCTTTGCTGTGGTTTACATAATGCTTTCAGTCACCTTTGTATGAGGTAAATCAATACTGGTCATTAGGAGCCCCTTGACCCATATCAAGTACTTCTATAAAAGAGGAGTCCCTAGAAAGCTTAGCAATCTCAGATGATTTTTCAGTCCTACACAGAGGTAAAGCATGTATGTGGCTCAGGAGATCATGACCTTGGGGACAACATACAGGTAAGCAGGCAAACATCAAAGGCTTATTACTGTTCTTGACCAATATCACATAAAATATTGAAATATGGACCAAAGAAGGGCGTAAGACTCTTTCAATACTAGAAAACATGATGGATTCAGTGGGAGGAGAAGACTGTAAAATATAAGTGTGACTTATCTCTACCTTCTCCAACTATAGAAAGGGGTGTTGCCCAGTAGAATAAAGGGTTGAAGTAAAAGCTGAGAGAAACATTCCTGTTTAACCTTTATCAATGATTTTCTATTTTCAGACTAAACTTAAGATAATTTAGGTATTGCCAGAACGTTCATGTAGTTTCCGTGAATAGTTATTAAGTAGGGGTATACTAGTACTTACCCTGAGCCCGAGGCATTCCCACATACAATATAGTCACCATCTAGTTCGTACCAGTTCGCTGTAACAGGATAAAAAACATGACAAATTGTGAGTAATAACACCTTAACTTTTATATATTATACAAAGTTCTCCTTTTCACTATGATGCTTTGCAACATATTTACAGAAAAATTGTACATGTTGATTAGTTTAGCCTCCTTGGTATGGAGGATTATCCAAATATTTAATTTCTCTCAGTGATATAAGAAATATTGTTTTTTGACTTTATATTATAAATAATATGAAAACACAGTATTTGAATAAAAGGTAGTAATTAAACAATTACTTTAACTGTCAAACTTGTGTTCACTTAATCTATTACAACTTTGATAAAGTTAGAGAAAGTAAACCTTATTAAGTAATGTTACTAATGTCACTAAGCCTTACATGTGTTTTTGACCCATGCATCAAACTGTGCCTCTATACTCAACGAGGGTGTGGCTACCAGTTCAGGTAAACTGACCACACACTTCTGTCGGAGCACTCCCTTGTAGATTTGTAGCCCAAACAGAGCGAACACCATCAGACAAAAGGTTGTCAGCATTATTACTTCAAAGAGTAATTTGAAAGCTCTAAGCAGTGCATTCACAATAGTTTTCAACCCTGAAATGAGTAAAAATATAGACATGAAAATAAGTTTCCAGGCTCATCTTACTTTAACTGATTACATAAAGTGACTAATACAGATTTTAATAAGTTTTCTCAAACATAGACTGGCCACAAGCCCCTAAGTTTTTATGAAGAATTTTTCGACTGCATTTTACTACTAGCTTATCTCCCCCTAGTTTAGAACTTGGAATCAGACATCCAAGGGATCAAAATTATTAGAGGTTTTTTTTCTTCTCTTAACCCTTTCACCCCTAGGTAACTTTAGTAGNATTAGAGTTTTTTTTTCTTCTCTTAACCCTTTCACCCCTAGGTAACTTTAGTAGACTCTACCATACATTGATCTGGATGAGTCCATTATGGTCTACAGTGGTGAAAGGGTTAATAATTCAATATTCTAAAGACAGGGGCCAGTAAATCTAGCTCATACAGTGTGTTCCAATTTTTTTAATTTGAACTTATACTGTATCATATATGTTCATACAATTTTGTTTATAAATCAACAGTGCAAGACAAAACAGCTGAGACTAAAAGAGCTATGCTTGACATACTAACATAAAGAATTACCAGATTTAACGTCTGAAAACAGTTTATTGCGGCAAGACTTGGATCACAAGGAAATAGTGAGCTACTGTACACTATACTATTTTTGCATTGCTTAAATTATATACACTTGTTTCCAATTAATTCAACCACTGTTGTCGATGCAAGAGTAAGTATCTTACATTTTCACAATGTTGAATTGTTCCAGACTTGTCCAATGAAATCAATATATTTGGAGCAATTTCTTTAATTTTAGGGACACTGAAGTGAAATTACATTAACTGAATGTCACTGAGACTATTTTGGGAAATATAAATAATTGTATATTTAAAAAACAACTTTGTAAGTTGTCAACTAAGAGAACTATACAGTTGATTGAAATGTGTACAATGTATAAGAACGTTCTGTACCTACCTGGAACTATGGAAACTGTTTTGAGAGCCCTGAAGACTCGGAATGTCCGCAGACCTTGGAGATTTGTTGAATTGCTCCCTGGTGATGCAGCTTGTATAAATATAGTGATATATCTGAAATAAAAGGACAAAGTAAAGCATTGTTGTGTAAAATGTAACCTTTTAAATGGTGGGATTTGTATATGAGAATATATATTAACTTCCTTATTTTCTGGTGTAAAAAGCATCTTTTTTCATCTGAAATCAATGCAGCCCCCTCCTTTCATAGCAAAATTGATTACCTTTTTTCGTGTAAATGAGATCTCTCAAATTTTTCAACAGGAAATTTATAAAAATTGACTCCCTCCATCCATGGTGAATTGGTTTATCTTTTAAGTAAAATGATGTACTTCACCTTTTTGCCAATTTCACCCTATTTCCATTCTTTAAAAAACCTGGATATGTACCATCTACCATAATTTTTACAGCACATTTTTCAAACTTATTTCATACTCTTTAAATAAGATTCTAAACATAGAATAACTATAATAACATCCAATATTGCTCAGAAGATCATCTTCAATTATTTTCTCACCTATGATTTTCAGGTCAAGAATTGTGCATTTTTTTTTTTTTTAAATCAAACATTTTTAAACTTCATTATCTTTATACCCTTTAATTATTATATTCAAGAAAAACATGTTTGTATCAAATCTATGTTAAATAGCTTGGTTAACCAGTGAATCAGAATAATTTGGCAAATTTGCAATACATTAAATACAATGTAGTAGGGTTAGCCTGGTGTATGTTTCATTATTATTTTTGTTTTTATGTTTAAGTCAATGTAAACAAGAAGGGGATCCTGTTGACAAGAATCTACCATACATTAACCCCACATTGAAACCTTAATGAATGCATATTCAAGCTCATTGTTAATACAACAATGGCATTTAGCTCTCGTTACAAACTAATCTATTGCTGGTACCAATAATGGAGATGAATTGGAATGCACGTTTTTTTCACTATTTGTTATCAAACTCTAGACAATTATTAGAGCAAAAGCATAGCTAGACAGATTACAAGCACTGGACTAGGGGCCTGAAGCAGCTAATACCTCTACTACGTAGCTAAAATAAGTATGCCTAGCCAACAGATTAAAGTGTTCACTTTCCAAAATACAGACATGTTCACCTCGAATAAAGGATAACTTGTTTGCAGACTGAATATGCTATTTTTAGTAAAATGTCATATGCCCCCTGACTTAATATGATCAAAAGCAATCCCAAGCATCCCTTCCTCATAAAGTGTGTATCAAATATGGGCATTATCACCAAAACCTATTGTTTGTAAACCAAATTCTATTCACAGATTAGCTAGGTGACCTTTTTACCAACTCTCCAATCGTCAAAAGCAATCCCAAGCATTCTCTCCTAACCAAACTGTATACCAAATGTGATCCTGATCACCCAAAAACAACAATAGAATTTGTCAAGGTGTGACAGTCTGACAGATTTACAGCACAATACAGAACAATACATCTCATATCCCACTTCTGTAACAAGAGAAAGACATCATTACATTGATTTTAGGATACAACTTCTGAAAAAAATATTTTGTATGGAACAAAGAAAATACCTTGATGTAAATTTAAATGTATTCGCCTCAATATAAGGTGTCAGTGATGCAATGCCAGTGTTTTATTACATAGCTACTATCCACAAAAATGTTAATCAGGCTCACGGCTCTCAGCCAGAGAAAAAGAAAACCTTACTGCTGCATCAACAGTCTTTTATCAGCAACGAGTAATAATATTACGGAAACAATGTTATTACGGTAACAATGTGCAAGTGTCAAAAGCCATCAGTAATTATTCATGCAGATTCTGCCCAAACTTTCGATTTCCATCACTTGATGCCTAGGTTAAGCCATCGAAACGAGCCTCAATATTTTCCATAGAATAAACAGCCAGATCGATAGGGATTATAATGTATGTGCATGTATATCCAGGTCTCTATTGTGTAGACTGATATTCTACACCAGGCATACCAGGGATGTAAATCGAACTAGGACAGCATACAAAACAAATACAAGTAAAAACAGATGGTTTTACTCAAACATTTCATGTTCTTTAAAACTGTACCATCCGATGGCTGTGCTGCAACGTTTCCTTAATGGATCCAGATGCTGTCTGTCATATTGTGATTTTAGTGAGAGTTTATAATCAGTCTCAAATATTTCACATTAGAATACTTACGCAGAGACTATAACTATAAAATCTAGCCAGTTCCAGGGATCTCGTAGATATGTGAATCGATAAAGTATGAAGCCTCTGGCTATGCATTTTACAACCAACTCAATGGTATAGATGCCAAGGAAAACATATCTGAAAGAGACAATATTTTTGTCATGAACAGAGCATGACAATTGTTGCAATCAATTTACAATAGCAATCAATGTAGTTTCAATTTTCAATTTCTTATCAGTAAAACATTAATAATATATTACAATATAAAAATTCATATCAATAAAAGATAACTCTACATACATATATGAACAAATAAGGTCTTTTAAATGTCTTTTTCTAACAACATGGCCCAAAACATATTTCATTAAATTGATTCCAAACTATCGATACTGAGCAGGAGGTCACAATTTGATTATATAAACTATAAAGCAACATAGTCTCCATCTTCACCCAAGCTCTATATTGTAGATACAAATAGTGCAGCTTAACTTCAATATAAGATATTGATTGCTTTAATTTAACTAATATGCTTTGTAAGCTGGCCTTAATTCTAACACAAAGAATGCTGTTGCCATATCGATGACCTCATCAGTTGTTGTGTGGCTTCAGACTGACGAACAACCCAAACAAACCATATATTGAACAGATTGTCTTGAAAATCAAAATGTGTAGGAATATTTTCAATACAATTTCAACCTTGATGTTTATATATACCAATTCAGCGTCGCGACTCCTCTACTAAATTTACAAATCAAGGTCAATAAACACAAGAGGCTTAATTCTGCATGAAGTGTTTGAAGAGAACACCAGAGCCAGATACTATGTCGGGTCATTTAAATTCATGTATGAAGCACATCTCTGAAAAATGTTTTAAGCTGATCATTTGATCCCTTTCAGGTTTAAGAAAAATATATTAACAGAAAAAAAGTATGATTTTGTAATGAAAATGAAGTGAACATCTTTCACATCTACAGGTCAACAGATATGAGACTTACTCTGCAGTCTCAGCAGCTGCTGACTTATGCATGGCTAGAAACACACAGTTCATAAGAATGGTGGTGATGACTAGGTAATCAAAGAATTGATTGGTGGCTATGTATACAGCTAGTTTCCGTACAGGGTTCCACGGAGGAAGGATGTAGAACGTCTTGGTCGAAGTGAATCTGTAGATAAACTTCTTCCCAAATCTTGGTGCTATTGCAACGAAAGTCTGCAAACAAATATTACGGCATTTTTCAAATATTGGTATTGAGCATTAACCAATACATATGTAGGTCAAACTTAAGAGAAAATGTTAGAACTTATAATTTAGGTTATTGTACCCTTGAACAAAGTCCCTAATTAGACTGTTATATATTATTACTGATCTGCTAGCAAACATGAAAAGAAATCATACAAGCATTCAGGAGTATTTCACTGGTTATTTTTGTTTACCAGGTATTTAAGTTATTGATATAATTACGCTTACTGCTTATTTGAAAGACTAGAACAATGCTGCAATAACACAAACAGGACCTCCGTCATTGCTAATGACTCCTGTTCCCAACACTTACAAAATCCCAAATGCTGCTCCATTTTGTAATTTAAATCCTCCGGACTACTTCCTTACTACTCAGATCACATATACTTACTTTTGACTTACCTTACCAAATGGTCATCATCTTGTATAGGATTTATTTTTACAGAAATAGTCTTTTTTTTCAAATATTTTATTCTTTGGAATGATTGTGTTGTATTGTAGTCTGTACATTTATGAATTTCTTTGAAGTGTTCCTATTATATTTAAACATAAATCAACAACAATTATTCATTCCATTCTTGTGTATTTCATAACCTTACATAACAACCAGCTATTGAAAATTCAAATGCAGTTAACTCATTCACCCCTGAAATGTTATAATGAACTATTCCAACCTATGAATTGAAAGAGTTCAAATGTGTCTTCAGGGGTGAATGAGTTAATGTACTGTTAGTGTCAGCATTCCATTAATAACACAAACATCTGAACACACAGCAACAATATAGTGTGAAATGTTTGCAAATACTTGATTATTTTCCTTTTCACCACTAGACTATAATGGACTCATCCAGATCAATGCATGGTAGAGTCTACTAAAGTTACCTAGGGGTGAAAGGGTTAAGAATGGACCCACTAATAATCAGAGTATGTCTGTAAATATGATTGAATATTACCTCCAATATGTGATAAAGGCGACACCATCAGAAGCAGTGTGCAATATATTGAGAAGGAAGGATTTGTTTGTTGTGATGTATAATAGATGACTTGCTACAGATACAAAACGTAGCTAACATGCTGGGTTTCTGGGCTGTAAATTTAGGGACGTGTCACTGCGGTACAGCTACTGTAGTTATTACACCTAACTCACACTAGGTTGTACTGAACATGTTGTTCCTTCGAGATCTAGTCAAGTCTCAAAATAAAATAACAGGAATCCTAGAGTTGCTGACTTGATGCAGATTAAATCATTCACCCCTGAAGACACATTTGAACTCCCCCAATTCAAAGGCTGGAATAGCTCATTATGAAATTTCAGGGGTGAATGAGTTAATTAGCCAGCCAGTCGTCCACTGTCTGTCCTATTTGGGTACTTTTTTTGTGTGGAAAGCTAAAACTATCTGCTTTTATTCTGGAATGATTACATGAAAACAATTTGAAATATTACTTTTTAAGTGTATTGCAATATGTGTTTGGAATTATGTTTAAGTGTATTCTATAGAGTTATCACATTTTAATAGCGCTAACAAAACCAGCTCTCTAGAAGTTAAATTCCCAGAGCTTCATTTGTCATATTGTTTAAAAAATTAATTCAAATTTATGGGAGGAACTGATAATTGTGACTAATTGATGTAAACAAGGCTACTTATAGTATTTCACATAAAACTTACGAGTTTCTACATAGAAGTTGTGAAGTAAATATTCCTAACCCTATTGCCACCTTTTCCCACCACTAGCAATTAACGATAGATAAACCAAAGGTATATCTGACAAACGTTATCCTGATCAATACATCCTTCCGTACCTGGGCCGAGAGTGTGACAGGCAGTGTGTTCACCACCGTCCTGGTCAATGGAGCGGGCCATAAACATTCCCTCAGGATTCAATATGAAGCTGTGTACATGGGAAATCATTTTATTGCTGGTCAACTAGAGGACCATACTAATAACTTTGTCCTGTTGTAATCAATTCTGTGGTTCAAGCTCTAATGAGCTGTTTTACTAGAGAACAATCAATAAGTCTGACCACCCTCTGTTTCTCAATTAAGGTATTGTCTGTAATATATGTTTCACATGCTGTCAAACCTTTACTTCCACCAACCATATGGTGAAGACTATTGATTTTGTGAAAGTCTTAAAGAACTGTAATATCACCAGGGTTGGTTTTCTACAGTTATTCATTTTTACAAGTACATTGTATAATTATAAAACAAAATCATAAATGACAGATCTGAATTTTCACACCAATTATGATTTAATTCAAAATAAAAATAGTCTCTTTCCAACTAATGTCACTTCAGTATTTTTGCACACAAAATTAGTCTGTGGAAAAAAGATTTCAGAAAAATCCTCATTAATGTATAAATGCATTGAAATGTTAATAATAAAATATGTATATGTATTTAGTATTTCCAAGAATGTATATGAGCGACCAATAATGATCAACACCTGTTAATTCATTTCAAAATATAGAATAAACATTTTTGTTAAATCCTTACATGAGAATTGTGGATGATTTTATCATTTTGTCCTAGGTATAGGGACATTGTTCAACTGAAAGCTCTCGGAAGGCAGATTGATGTGCCCACATACACCAGTGTTAACATTCCGGACAGATTACTGGGGCATTAAGTTTTGACTAGCCATGGACATCGAGCTGATAGCAGGGAATCTTAACAATCATTAATAGCGAAGCCAAAAGCATGCATGCAGTTCAGATACAATTGCTATACATCATTTCAGCAATAAACCCTGTACGTGGAACAATGACAATGAACTATGATTTTAAATATGAATGATAATATCAGAAATACTGGAGCACTGTAATTAGTACTAATTACCTTAAAAAAGTGTACAATAAAGGGAGGTAACTCTCTCAGATAAAACCTTTAGTACACAACATGTTCTCCACTGATCTAGAGCTGCCAATACTAATGTTTAAAGTAGAAAATTAAGGTGAATATTATGTGTTTACAGTACATGTCTTATTTTGTGAATGTAATATGCTTGGTTGTATGTATATGTTCTCTAAATTAAAGCTGCAATTGTATCATACCTGTACTATATATTGTATCATACCTGTACTATATATGGTATCATACCTGCACTATATATTGTATCACACCTGCACTATATATTGTATCATACATGCACTACATATTGTACATACCTGCACTATATATTGTATCACACCTGCACTATATATTGTATCATACATGCACTATATATTGTATCGTATATGCACTATATATTGTATGGTACCTGCACTATATATTGTATCATAACTGTACTATATATTGAATCATACCTGCACTATATATTGAATCATATCTGCACTATATATTGAATCATACCTGCACTATATATTGTATCTTACCTGTACTATATATTGAATCATACCTGCACTATATATTGTATAATACCTGTACTATATATTGTATCATTCCTGCACTATATATTGTATCATACCTCCACTATATATTGTATCATACCTGCACTAGATATTGTATAATACCTGCACTATATATTGTATCATGCCTGCACTATATATTGTATCATACCTCCACTATATATTGTATCATACCTGCACTACATATTGGATAATACCTGCACTATATATTGTATCATGCCTGCACTATATATTGTATCATACCTCCACTATATATTGTATCATACCTGCACTACATATTGTATCATACCTGCACTATATCTTGTATCATACCTGTACTATATATTGTATCACACCTGTACTATATATTGTATCATACTTGCACTATATATTGTATCATACCTGTGCTATATATTGTATCATACCTGCACTAGATATTGTATAATACCTGCACTATATATTGTATCATATCTGCACTATATATAGTATCATACCTGCACTATATATTGAATCATACCTGCACTATATATTGTATCTTACCTGTACTATATATTGAATCATACCTGCACTATATATTGTATCTTACCTGTACTATATATTGAATCATACCTGCACTATATATTGTATCATCCCTGCACTATATATTGTATCATCCCTGCACTATATATTGTATCATATCTGCAGTATATATAGTATCATACCTGCACTATATATTGAATCATACCTGAACTATATATTGTATCATACCTGTACTATAAATTGTATCATACCTGTACTATATATTGTATCATTCCTGCACTATATATTGTATCATACCTGCACTATATATTGTATCATATCTGCACTATATATAGTATCATACCTGCACTATATATTGAATCATACCTGCACTATATATTGTATCATACCTGTACTATATATTGTATCATACCTGGACTATATATTGTATCATACCTTCACTATATATTGAATCATACCTCCACTATATATTGAATCATACCTCCACTATATATTGAATCATACCTCCACTATATATTGAATCATACCTGCCCTATATATTGTATCATCCCTGTCCGATATATTGTATCATTCCTGCAATATATACTGTATCATACCTGCACTATATAGTGTATCATACCTGCACTATATAGTGTATCATACCTGCACTATATATATTGTATCATACCTGTGCTATATATTGTATCATACCTGCACTACATATTGTACCATACCTGCACTATATATTGTATCATACCTAAACTATATATTGTATCATACCTGCAGTATATATTGTATCATACCTGCTCTATATATTGTATCATACCTGCTCTATATATTGTATCATACCTGTGCTATATATTGTATCATACCTGCAGTATATATTGTATCATACCTGCAGTATATATTGTATCATACCTGCAGTATATATTGTATCATACCTGCTCTATATATTGTATCATACCTGTTCTATATATTGTATCATACCTGTTCTATATATTGTATCATACCTGCTCTATATATTGTATCATACCTGGACTATATATTGTATCATACCTTCACTATATATTGAATCATACCTGTACTAT